TTTTATCGTGGATCTTATCACGGATTACACTCCGCTCGCGGTAGCAGCGCAACGAATCGGAGATGCTCGCTCACTCCGCTCGCTCACTCGCTCGCTCGTGGGAGCCGAGTGCAGCGAAATCGATTAATCCCGATTAATCCCGAGCGCGGGTAACGTTGGAACGTAATACGTCGCCGTGATAATGCATTCGTCTTGGAGGCCCCTTTTGCGCGACATCGAACGCGCGCGTCATTAATCAGCCGTGACTCTTTGCGTTATCTGTGCCAGATATTAATGAGAGAAACCGTCGCCCATCTACTTCGTAGCGAGATTATCGTGGTTTGACGCGCCACGACGGAAATATTTATAAAGCAATCCTCTGACTTGGAGCGAATACGGCGATTATGGCGCAACGCGTCGTCTCTCCCTTTATCCGATCGCGTTGGGAATATCGTTGGGTTAACTCGATTCGCTTTATACGCGTCCGCGTTACAAATTGCATATTAATTCGCGTCCACAACGCGCGGAATCAGACGCGATTCTATCATTCCTCGTGTTCATTACGGAGATGACGGATGATAAGTGTAATCAACGTGGCTTGTAATCAGGTAATGCGGATTATAATCTATTTATTTACGCACGAGTAATTAAGTGTGTTATACGTGGAGAGAATATTGCATATTTTCTTTTTCATACAAATTCTCTGTAATTTTCAATATAAATTCTTAATTAGAATATTCTGGAGAAATATTCACTATAATATTCTATGCGCTTAAACCGTCCGAATTGCATTTGCTCATTTACTTAGTATAGTTGAAAAGAGTGGTATAAAAAAAAGTAAAAGACAAATTGCTGATCTAGTCTCGAGAGAAGCCAGCTAATCTGAGGAATCTGTGCCTCGCAGATCGCGTTATCGCGTCTGTAGGACGAGATCCTGAGATGGGCGCAGACAATGCGGCACAGCCGGCATTATCCGTTCGCCGTTGAGTTATACGCTCGGCACTCGCGACACGTCGAGCTGAAATTGTGATTCGACGGGAACGGATGGATCGAGGATCTTCCGCGGCGTTGCTTCCGAGCGCGTCGATAAATTAACGTCGCGTCTCCGCGGGATCGCAAAATGTTCCGCAACGGACACGGGGAATTCGACGGCGGAATGCATTATGACCTTTCAACTTTGCGATACACTGGAATATTTATCTGAATGACTATATACATAAAGCAGAATGTCTGACTGTTTCTTACTCAAACTCTTGAGTCTTTTGATCGATCTGGACCAAATTTTGCGTAGTTATTCTCTAAGACTCTGCGGAAAATATAGACTTCACAAAGCCTGGCGGCTCTCCCTCTCTCTTTCTGCTACTTATTGTCTAAAATTTTTAAGTATTATTATAGTAAAATTTACCGGGCACTCGGGAAACATTCGCGCCGATGGAGACTCATAGCGCGCGTCAAATTACACACATCGACGCGACGCGACGACGAAAGCTAGTCTCGCACGAGACACACAACGAAGTCCATTAAATTGAAATTAACAGGACTACGTGTGGGATTCGTCCGGGGTTGTCATTAAAATGCCGCGAATCATCGTTTGGCGCGATAATCGTCCGCGATAAGAAGCGACGGCCGACAGTGCGCATTTACCGACGAATTGCGTTTTTAGCCGGCTGCGGTCGGCCGCGCGCGCAAGAACCCACCATCCGCGCGATTTGATAAATGAACTCGCGGTACGTAATAACCAGGTCGCTGCTGCCGGTAAAAGCGTGCGCATAATGCGTCTCACCCCTTTGTCTGCCACACCCTCTTGCACACACACACACACACACACACACACACTCTCTCTCTCTCTCTCTTTCTCTGCGTCCGTTCGCGGCGCGAAACAAGCGGGGGTGACATAATGCAATTGTACGTCGATGTTTCGCACGACCGACGCGACGGTCAACACGACAATTTTTCATTAATCCGAATCTCCCGTTGTTTTTCGGCGCGAAAAGACGCGCAGAGATGACGGGTGAGGGGATGGAGCCGGGGTCAGAGCGGCAAGAATCCAGATAGTACACTGGAAACTTTTCATCGGGTTTTCCCCGAATAAAAGGTCCTCCGCTATTTGCCCGCGCTTCCGCCCGCTCCTCGACAACGTCCGCTCGGGATTAATTGCCATCGAATCGTCGAATGGAATCGCTATTGAAACACGGGGGAAAAAAGTCTCATCTCGCAAACTCTAATTAAGCGGCACGACAATCCCGGAACGGGCCCGGGAGGAGGCGCGCTGGGGATCCGGCGAGATTTCATTCCCGGTGAAACCGCGGGGGGGAAGGAGGGGTGAGCGAAATTAATACAGTCGACATCTTCTCATGCGGATCTATGGATTTGTCCGTTTTTACATCAGGCTTTTGTCTCTTCCGCGCACAGAAGTTTGCGTACGCGAAACAACGTGGCTAATAAACACCCCGTCTCTCGATGAATCATTCGTACATTTTTATCACGAGTAATTAGAGGACCAAGATGTGTTAAGTTTGAATGATACAAATATGTACAGATCATTACCATGCCCAATTAATCCGCAATTCGCTACCTGATCGCCATGACAGTCCGATAATTGAATTATGCACGCGAGTTCTCTTAATACAGCTTATAATGTAACTTTATCTTAATTTCGTATTACGATATTTCTGACACAAAAATGTTCTGATATAAAACGAAATTCCATGAGTCATGAGATTCTGTGTCCTTCGACTAGAACGCGTTGATTTGATAAAGCCAAACAATTAAACCTTTTCTCTCTGTGTACCACATTGTTATCAATAGAACATATTCATTGTATTAAAAATGCTCATTATATTCTTTACTTATATCTCTCACGTTCGTTATCGAGTCTTCGTCCAGAAATATTCGATATTCGCGTGCGTCACATATTAAATTAACATCGGATCCTGACGCGAAAATAGACGGCGGCCTAATCAAATTTCCGTTAAAGGCGGATCGGACGATTCATTCGGGATGATCGCGGAGATGAACCGTGTAAATTCGCTTGAGAATGTGCCCGAGGACGGCGAAAAAGAAGCAAAGGCGATTCCGTGCTGGCGAATGAAAGGAGCGGGTGGTCACGGGTGAAAAGGAACGCACCTGTGAGGGGGGAGAGCCGGGAGAGAGCAGGTTAATCGGATTTTTCCTATAAATCATACTTTACGCGAGCTCTCGATCCCGTCAGGCGCTAACGACCGTACGATCGCCTCGCGAAAATCATGTCGCGGAGAAGCGTGGCCGGTGGAGCCTTGAGCCGTTTGCACGTCAAGCGGCTCGATGCAAATGGATTTTCAACGAGCCGTGCCGTGCCGTTGCCGTGCCGTACGAGTGATCGCTAAATAAACGTCCGCTGCCAGCGACACGCGGCCGCGAATTCGCGCGTTCGCTCTGCGGACGACGATCTAGACAAAATGGCTTTCTAAAGGGAAAGCCCGATATCGCTGGTGAAACCAATGTGAGAAGTATCATCGAGTTACAACCCTCCGTCGTGGCGCGATAACGTACGCGCGCGCGTGCAATAGGATGCGTTCCGCCGGCGTTTCTCTCTCTCGGCGCGCGGATTTCCCCTCACCCCTCCGCCCCAGGCGATTCGGAGTCGATTTTACCTCGGGGGAAATTCGCCCGGCACGTTTTTCAACGGTCCGCTCGAGATATACGATTTTACGTAAATCTGTCGTAAATTTTATTTCGCGCACGAGGTTTAATTGTGTAATCTCGCGCCGGAGCCATGGGCCGCGCGGCGTATATCGAAACGCGCCGATTGAATTCCAATCATCGAGCTTCCACGTTCCGCGTCATAAAGCCCGAAATCTCTTTATTATTATCGACGAAATCTGCGCGGTAATAGCGAAAGTGTATCACCGCACCGTAAAGTCGGCGCGGCCGGGTGTACGCGTCGTGTTTATAATGCAATTCGACGGCTCGCGGGAAAAGACGGCGCATAAAGCCGGCAGTTATCTATTGGCCGACGTAATGGCGAAACCTAATTTATATTCCGGATTTCCTATAATGCAATTCATTAGTCTCGAAACAGGTCTGGCATGGAGAAACAATGGCTCGTCTTCAAAGCTTCCCCGATACAGCACTCCCTCTCTCTTGTCCTTCTTCATCTTCTCCTTCATTTTCCTTCTCCTCCTCCTTTTCTTCTTCTTCTCGCCTCTACTTCGTTGAATTCTCCCTCCATCCGCCGTCTCGCCTCATAGCTTTTCTCCGTCGCTTCATCTTTATGGTACTACCAAGCTTCCACCTATTTATTAACGCACTTCATTCCGCTTTCCTTCTGGAGATTTATTTTATAATTATTCTCGATCCCCCTCACACACACTCACACACACACACACACACACACACACACACATACACACGTCGTCGGGCGTGATGAGCGACGGTAAGATTTTTATACTATATGTGAAAAATATTTCATCGGTCGCTGTGTCGCCTGAACTTGGGATTTTCTCGCGCGCGAGGATGATAGAGGATGAATTGCCCATAAAACATGCTTGAGCGCATCAAGTAGGAAATGTCGATTTTAAGATACGAGGAATTCCTCGAGAAGCCAGATTTTCGCGGAAACGCGCATTCTCATACTTATGTTTTTCTAATAGAATACAATATTTAACGATACAAATGTTTTTAGATTTTTATCTAAGCAATGTTCTCAATAATTCTTATAAACGCTCCAATATGTTGGCACTTACTAGTGTTATTATAATATTATAATCCGTTAATATCAATAGAGACGCGATGCACAAAATGTTATTAAATAATTTGAATGCATCAAATAATGAAATTGATATTATGATATCGTGTATAGAATAGTTGAATGTGTGATCAGATTATATCTCGTGCAACAATCTCCAAGCACGACTCAGCCGGCTGAATGTTTACGCACTCGTCACGCAGCCTTCAAAACAATAACACAACATCGTACGCATCGAAATACACTTCGTTCTTACGTTTGATTGGGAACTCAGTTCCGCGGATGCCTTATTACCGATAGGTCAATAGTTACCACAGATATTCGACTAGCTACAGTTGTGTCTGGGGCTACGCGTTTCTTATTACTGTTAATCAATCCCGAAAACACGTTCTCGCTTTTTTACTTTATCGTTTTACTTCCATAGGTTACGTTTATCGTGTGACAGCCATCGCCACGAATAAAAATTCGAGAGAGTGATAGAGTGATAACTCGAACACAATGGGTGCATTCAGTACTGCAATTGTTCTTGCATCTGATTGGTGTATATTTGTTACATCGAAAAGAGCATGACGATCAGATGCAAGAATTGAACACTCGGTTATATAGCACTAGAGGCCGATAGTTTCTATCTCTTGGTAAGTTACTTGACAAACAAATCATATGTGTCTTCGTTTTTTCTTCAAATTAGATAAACACATGATTTAACTGTTAAGTAGCTAGCAAGAGGTTGGAACAAAATCGGTTCTAAATACAGCTATTTATCGATCGGTCGCGCCTATCGATCCGTCGCGCGCGCGACAATCGATTGGTCGCGCGCGCACGGCGCGGTCGCTCGCGTATCACAGGCGCGTCCGCGTACGTGACTAATTGCGCGGGCACCGTCCTTTTGCGTCGAGCGGCCGCCATTGACACATCGATCCACATTGCTCCGTCTTTTACGCATCTTTTGTCCGTCGAAAACGAGTCTCATACGGGAATAAGTGTCGAGAGTGCTGAAGATAACAATGTGCGATATCGTCAGGAGGATAACATAAGTATCTTATAACTTAATCTTTCCTAGTTTTCCATGTCTTCAACCGATGCTTGTCGTGTCGTGCCGAATTGACTGTTGAGTCTCTCTCTCGAGGCATCTCTCTCTCATTATTATCTTTGATTCACTCAAGTAGTAACAGTATCGATGTGATCGTTGAACTTATTAATCGGGAATTAGAAATTCAGTGGTAATCAGAGGGAAAGAGAGATGAAAATAACGCCACAGATATACGCGGCGCCAAATCTCTGGCAGTAATGTCGCTCTGTTAGCAAGAGGGAGAAGGCTATACCCATGAGAGCGCATCCTTGTCAGATCGCGACACTGTTTACGTTTCGGCATGCATTCTCCGCGTAGATTGTCTGGACACCGTCGATGTTTTTGCGTCGAGTAAGCGACATTAACACATCGATCGATATCGCTTCGCATTTTACGTGTTTTTTTTGACATGTATAACCGGTGCTTGTCGTGTCGAGCTGATCTTGGCGTCTGTCATTCTCATTATCTTTGACTCGTGACAAGTAGTAATAATATCGGGCGATCGTCGGATTTATTATCGAAAAGTAGAAATTTAGTTATAATCAGAGGGAAAAAACAGACTAAATGCACGCGACACACCAAATCTCGGACGGTAACGCCGGTTTGCTCGCAAGCGACGGAGGGGTGTACTCGCGAGAGCGCGCCCTTGTCGGATCGCGATAAGCGCTTTGGCGCGCATTCACAGTCATCAATCGTGCAGCCATCTTGGATTTCGATCTTTTCGCATCAAGCAACCGTCGTGACCTCATCGATCGATATCGCTCCGTATTTTACGCATTTTTTGTCTATCGTAAGTGAGCTTCATACGGAAACAAGTGTTGGGAGTGTTGACAATAGCGATGTGCGATTGCCAGGACGTATCGTAAGTACTTTATTAGACAGTAATCTTCTCGATATGTACGACCGATGCTTGTCGCGTCGAGGCGTCTGTTATTCTCATTATTTTTCATTCATTTAAGAAATAATATCGCGCGGGCGATTTATTAGTCAGGAATTAGAAATTCCGCGGTAATTAGAGAGAAAGGGGTGGATCAAGTGACGCTAGAGATATACGCGGCGTCAAATCTCGGGTGGTAACGTCGGTCTGTTAGCAAAAGAGAGAGGGCTGTACCCGTGAGAGCGCGTCCTTGTCGGATCGCGACACTGTTTACGTTTCGGTGCGCATTCCCAGCGTACGTCATGCATTGCCCGGGCATCGTTGATGTTTTTGCGTCAGGCAAGCACCATCGATCGACATCGCGCCGTGTTTTACGCGTCTTTTGAATGTCGTAAGTGAACATCGCGCGGAAATACGTGTTGGCAGTGTTGAAAATAGCAATGTACGATCGTCAGGAGATAATATAAGTGCCTTATAACCTAAGCTCTCTTCGTTTTTTCCCGTACACGCAATGCCGGTATGCCGCGATGTATTATGTCGATCTCTCTTATACTTATTTTTACTATCGATTCAATGAAATAGTAATAGAATCATAAATTTTCATCCATCCGCGAAGCTGTGCATTTTTCACCACTGTTGATTAATCTAAAAAGCGCGACATATTTTCCAGATTAATTAACAGTGATGAGAAGTAAGTCACCCGCAGGACTGAGTGTAACTTGGCAACCGTAATTAATTAGGAAAACTATTTCAGATTTCAGATTCAGCAGAGCTCGTAGTTACACGTTGGGTGCAGTCAATATCCTCCAAAAGATATGAGGTGCAGCACCGGCGGTTCTGGCTCAGGACGATGGGCTCGAAGGTAGGTTCAGAAACTCTCTGCGCTCCTCTATTTAACCCTTTGCGGTCGAAAGCCGGAATATAGCCGTCAGAATGACGAATGCTCGAATCACGACCGCAAAGGATCCTAATCCACTCGTGTCTATGCGCATTCGTTCGTTAAGCCGAATCTCGAAATCTAACCCGCGAAACTATTTGTTCTGTTATGCAGATTCGAATGCAGCAGAAGATGATACGGATCCAATGCTGAGCTAGCGATCTCTGTGAGTAAGAGAGACAAATAAGGAAAATAATTTAGATTTAACCCTTAATTTGGTAGACTCAGAAAAATTTTAAGAAAAATATCCCTGAGTGTTTCAATAAAGTAAATCTCCTAAATATACGTATCATATTGTTTTCAAAATATAATTTTTATAAAATTGTCATTTTTTTCAACGATTTTGGTCATCTAGTGGCAAAAATCGAAACTACTGAGACAATGACAAACAGAACAGGTAATCAGATGTTGCTTCGGAGCAATGTTAAATAAATATATATATTGTTCTAATATGTTGTATATAGAAATCAATGTTGCTTGAGAGCAAAATGAACCAAATGAAGGGTTAAAAGCTAGCATGTTTGTTGAAGAAATCTCGTGAGATTCGGCGAAGATTGATCTCCGTACTTTGTTTATGTAGGCGCCTTTTCGTCTATGTGTACGCAACAATTTCGCTGATGTTTATTGTAATGTACTGTGTTTCTGGTGCATGAAGTTGGCGCGACGATATTCTGCTTATATTCACCGAAGAAACGTGAAATTAAAAGACGAATTAAAATACACATACGTACATATGCATTATACGGGAAATTTGTGCAAACGAAACGACGCTTTATTTGACTCGATCAGATTTGGTCTTACCGCACCATTTGAGGGTTAAAATTAATAACACCTCGCGCGCTTTCCTCTCTCGTTGCCGAGTTTCTCCTGAGTATATTTTCCTTGCCGGCGCGATTTTTCTTTTTCACCTTATTTCGCCCGATTCCTCGACTGCGCCGCTTATTGTCTCGCTTGCTCTTTATAGCTCATACAACTCCAGGTTCCGACTTGTGCCGTATTTATGGACACATTTTACCTCGCTCTCCCTCGTATGTTCACTTCGCTGCAGTTATCTGTGTTTTCTTTACGCTCGGACCTAATGGACCGGCGCTTTATTGGCCCCTCGGTCGTGAACGGTATCTGCGACGTGCCGTTTATCAACGTGATTTTGTTGAAATTAATGAAATAGTCCGTCGCGTATCCGCTGTTCCGCTCCTTAACTCACTATCGCTCATTAACATTCCGCCAATATGATTTCTCTCGGTCGACTCTTGTCGTCAAGCGTTCGCGGTTAACCGTGCGCATCGTTATTATCGCCATAGATATGTTTTTGTGAGTTTGCTTTGTAAACAAAAAGGGAAAACAAACAAGAGAGAAAGATCATTACGCGCGGATTTGTACGCGGCAATACGAGATGTGTGAGCATTTGTAGAAAACGAGAACTGACACCTGATAGTTGTTGATAGTCCTGAGAAACAAGATAAAAATAGATAGTTATTCATAACAGCACGATAAAGTAATTATTGTAACGCGCTATCGCCATCGCGGATGCATAAGTTTCGCGCTCCAAGTTTTCTCCGGAAATAACTCCGTGCATTAATGTATTAATGGCAGTCGCAGACTCGCTTTTTATTTTCATTCCGTTTCTCCTTGTCTCTTCTCTCTCTCTCTCTCTCTCTCTCTCTCTCTCTCTCTAAAACTTATCGAGCCAGCCGGTCCTCCTTCAACCTTTCCCAACCCACCTCTCACCCCTTCCATTTCACCTAGCCATTTTCATTTTTCTTCCCTTCATCATTTACTACCCTCACTGCTTCATCTGGTATATCTATCTACCCGACCTCTCGTCCTTCCGTCTTTTTCAGCCGTTTTATATTTTTGCCTCCTCCTCGTACGCGCCGCGCTTTTACGATTCATTCTCCGTATTTTTACGGATATACGGCGCACCTCGTATTCAGTTATTTCCGTTTTTACTTCCGACACGACCGACACCGGTTCGCCCGTAAAAACTTTTTTGGTTCCGCTCGTCGTGATTTCGGCAGCCTCCTCGTTATACAATCCCCCCCTTTCCAACTCTTGGACAATAAATTAATGGGACAACGCTAACTTAAGTTTCACCCCTTTTCTGAGTTCCCCTCGAATGATACTTCACCCCTCTCGCGTTTTACTCTCTTCTTTTTTCTTCCCTAGATTGTCCCCGCCCGCGTTCTGCTTGTTTACTTTTTAATGATGTCGCCGTAATGCAACAACGCGAGGTGGAGACAGAGCGACGTAGTTTACCGGTACGAAATGATTTAATACGCACGTAAGCACAAGCTCTCGTCCCACCTCCGTTTTATATTTCAACTGTACGCGTAACGTCGCGCGACGCGCGTCAAGGATTCAAGACCGGAATAAGCAAAGAAAGCACGTCTCTTCGTAACCTACTTTCCGATATACACCGTGTACATCTCTCTCTCTCTCTCTCTCTCTCTATGTGTCTTTCCCCTTTTTTTTTCTCTGCCTCTTCCTGGATTTTCGTTATATAATAAGGTCATACATATTCCTCGCGTCTCTCTTAGTTTCTCGGATTAATGTCTCGCGGAAGAGCCGGCCCTCGCGTTGTACGTTTTCGTCGAATCCCATTTTGCTGGGATAATATACTTTGCCGTGGCAACGCGACTTCTCTATTTTACGAGGAGCATGCTTCACGAAGAGTGTTTGGAAACAATTTTGAGATGTTTAGGTTCTCGCGCGCTGAAACACGGTTCCGCGCCCTCAGTCGGTTCATTCAAGGCAGCGCGCGTTGATTGTTGGACGTTAACAATTGTTATTAATGAACAGCGGAGAGCTTAGCGAGCTCATTGTTTGGCGATTTTAAAGGTCTGATTCAGTCGAGTCTCGTTCGAGCGCGAGAGATCAGGAGATCGTGAAAAAAGGTCGCACTACGCGCGCGGCGAATTTTACTTCCCTAGATATCTCTCTTTCCTACTCTCCGCAATCGCGCGTCAAATTCAGTTATCTGCCAACACTGTTCGTGGTGTGTACGAAAAAATTTTTTTAATTTTACCCCGGAAACTCCGCGAATCTTGTTAAAATCGATACCGTAACCGCGACATGTTCGTTTCCGCGATTCGTTGGAAATTTATGACGCTCCCAAATTGAATTCGAGATAAGCCGATTAATGCTGCGCGAAATACGTTTAATGCGCGCGCGGAAATTACGGCCAATTCAGAATATTCCTTAGTCGCGTTCATCGTTATCTCGCTGCAAACGGGATTGAAACTAAAGAGGGGTTTGATACGAGAAGGGCAGAGATACGTTGTGCGCTGCTACGCGAGGAGGGCAACGGCCTGGTTAGTGGATGAAGCTGTACATGTAGTGGTGATGGTGGTGGCGGCGGCGGCGGCAGCAGTGGTGGTGGAATACGAATGTCGATTGCGCGTCCAAAGATTTACGGTTAAAACCGTGCTTTACGCGCGCTTCCCGTCAATTATGCCAAAGTTCGTTACTTCGGTCGAGCGTTCGCACGAAACGCGAGCTGTCGAGTCAGCCCGAACTAATTTTGAAAAACGGGCTATCGGAAATTAAAAAAAAAAAGGGGGAGAAGAGAACGACAGCGAGGTCACGTTTGCGTCCCATCGAGCGGTCGTTAATGCGCATCGACGCTCCATTAAACTTGAATTTTTTGAATCAATAGCGCACAAGCCATGACTGTTTTTCTCGTTTCATCTCGTTTTTCGAAAACGTTTTCAGTCGCGTTTTAGTTTTCGGACGTCAAGGGCATCACCGCGTCTTAATCAGCCGCGATTGAACGCGAATTAGACTTGCAAAAATCGCATGGTCGGAATTTATAGTCGAGATGAAAGCGCTCGAGATATACAGGCCACGTATCGCCGTTTTGATCGGTCTCGCTTCGTTCTCGTTCGCGACGTTTCAAACACACCGCGGCGCCGTCGTGGAAACGCTATACTTTGGCGCGCGGGACGTAATAAAATTAATTAGGTCGTGCTGATCTCGGAAAACGAAACTTCGCGATTTTAGGCGCCAAGTCGGCCGACGTATCGACCCGTAATTGCTAAACAGCGCACTGGAAAGGCTCGAGATCAGAATCGTGCGGGGCACGAACACGCGTATCCCCTCTTCGAGACATGCTACGAAAGTGGCGAGCTAGACTTAATTGAGGAAGAGAGTAGTGGAAAGAAGAATTGCGAAATGTGTCGACTAGACGTATCGATTATGTCACGACTGTTGATCTACATTTTCACGGTATCCTCGGGATCGTTAATGTGAATCGTTCATATCGTAGTCATATTCATAGTCGGTTGGTTTCATTAAATCTTTAAACGTCAAATACGCGTCGTCGAGTGGAAGAGACTAATTATAATAATAATCAAGCTCCGGAGCGTGAAGTAGCTATTTGGGAAATATTTAGATTAAAACCGTCGTGATTAATAACTTGATATTTGAAAAACAAGAGACCGGCTAGACTGCACAATTCCTGTCTCTGATGATGTAAATTTTTTAAAGCATATTATAATTACATTTATCGCCGCGCATATTTGATATGAAGTGTGTTAAAAAAAGCGATATGTACCATCTAGACAGAACAAATGTAACTTGAAATGAATCTCGATGGGATCCTTTAAAGGCATTAAAACACGCGTAATCCGTAGATACACGAATTAAAATTAAACGACGTATCGAGCCTCGAAAAGTGGAGCACGTTCGCTACCACTTCTTCCTGCTTCCATTTTTATTTTTTCTTCTTGAAAACTAATCTGACGGCAGTGTGTTGCGCCGGTAATTAACGTCGACCTCGCTCAAAGATTTAATATCGAGAGCCGCATACCTCGGCGTCAATTACACGAAAGATACGTTTGCTTCTGTCGGTCGCGCAACACCGTCTCGTATTTCTTTCGCGAAACGCGAGGAAACGCATGGAGACTCGAGCGAGTTTTGATTAATGGAACATTGGAAGCTGAGAAAGAAGAAAGAACCGCCCCGAGCACCCAAAGGTGTAATTAACAACGGCAATCAGACGTCTTAGTGAATTTTTTTATGTATAAGTCAAGAAGCGGAAAGACGAGAGAGGCGGAGGGGGAGGGAAGGAGCGAGTTAGTCGGATCGGCGAAACTTATGACAGTTCGATGGATATTCCTTCCAACACGAGCAACGCTCGAGTTCTGAGATGAAAAAAAGCAAGCGATATCTTTATTAAAGTTGGAAGCCTCCGTATACTTCCGATATCTATCCGTGTCTCTTAAATTACAGTTTCGCGGTGCATCTCTTGGACGATGGTGAAGAGCAACTGCGAATACAACATACAAAATACAACGCGATACATATATTTACTAAAAGAATCAACATCGGGAGGATACAAAATATTAACGAAAGATAAACTCAAATTTCTGTTAAAAAAAATTGTGCCTCGCTCCAGTTAAAAAAACCCTTCGCTCTATTTTTTTAATCAATTTTCGTAACAATATCAATTGTTGACTGCGTGACAGCTATTTAGTCGTTAGTTTAAAAAACGGAGAATTGGAGATGCTCGCTACAAAAACGAGCAAAGTTAGTTTAATGTCGGGGAAACAACAGCAAAAAAAGATTGCTGTTTATTGAAAAGTCATGTAAGTCTAAGTGAGGGAGGGGGCGCGCTAGGTGGTAATTAAGTAAGTAATTAAGCCACTGACGTGGCTTGTAATTATCGCTGACGTGCTCGAGAGGGATGAGAGAGGGTGAAAGAGACAGAGTCGCGAAGGGAGAGGAAATCAGAAAGTTGGAAGCGAGCTTCAAAGAGCTTCAAACCTTCTTCTAGACTTTACGATCGCAACCCCCATGGCCTTTACAGTTGCCGAGAAATTCGACGGGACGAGGGGGAGAAGGGGCGAGGTTGGGTGGGGGGGGAGGGCTGGTGGTGGAAACGGCAGCTGGATATTGATCCCCAAACAAAACAGGCAGAGCGCGAGTGTCTAGCGGTGTAATTTCTGACAATCCATGGGATACAGCGGAGCCGGTAAATATCTCACGGCGTCTTCCATTACGTAAAACAATATTTGCGGTGCATTATAAACTCGTGGTGTGTATATGCGAAAAAAATTGCGAGTACGAGCTCGTTACGCGGAAATTCCGTCTTAACGTGCGCAAAAAGAAGGCGCAATGAAATCCGCGCGACATCGTGGCGTCAACAGAGCGAGTCTTTTTAACTTCTCGAGAGAAATTTTGCATTTTAAAGAACGATAAGTTGCGACGTTAAATTACAGAGAAATTTGAACGACTTGTGGTGTACATCTGAACTGTCGACGCACTGTCGTCATGCTGTTCGTCACGTTTAATTCAACTTTGAATAACATACAATTTTTATTCGCGTCACCTGTGAGATAATCAGTAAATTAATTTCAGTTTATCGCCGAAGATACAATCACACAAGTGCCAGACAGTCGATTACTGCAGAATTTCACGAAATGTGAAAGTAACGAAAGTCGACGTTCGGTTGAATGTGAGCGTATCAAGGATCACAAAATCGGATTGATTTTCGAGTTTTAATTATAAATCTCAAATCATTCTCTTTCTCGAATTACTCGGTTTCGTTGGGCGATTCCTCTCGAGAATTGTTTGTTTCCTTCGATCCGGCAAGATTCACTTATTTCGCGCTTCAATTTCGGCGAGAGCTTGCGTGTCTTTCTCTTTCCCTGCGAAATTTCTTCCCGTACAAATTCTCGATCGTCTCCTCGACAGATTCTCGAAATTGTTTTCTACGCGAGTACTCGTTCGAGAGCGCCCTTTGAGAAAGCAGAGAGAAAGCGAGAGAAAAAGAGAGAGAGACGGAGAATGCCCCGGTGTAAATGCAGCGCAACCGACGAGCCCCGAGGGTCGTCTCGAAGCTCGAGTGCGAGGAAAGTTCGGCAGGCTTGCCTTTTTATCCCTCCAGCAGACGTAAAGGGGCGCACTTACACACTCCGCACTCCCTTTCCTCGTGTCGCTCGCTAGCTCCACCTTACTCATTCCTCACGTCTCCCTTTGCGTCCTACTACGAAGTCTAGAACCGATGTATAGCTATATTCGGTTTCCTTTCGTCTCGACTAGACGTTAAAAATGCCCCCTCCAGGAGAGCGCGATGCCCTCCTCGAGGAACCGCGCCGTTCGTCGAATAACCCTCGAGAAAGGTCGCGGCGAATGATCGGCTATCTCGTTTACGAGAAATATCGCTCGCGTGCTTCGGACATTCGTATTTCCGCCGGGATCTTGGGCCATCGACGTATTTAGTTTTTATCGGTTTGATAACCATTGCCGGTGAACTTGAAAGCTGAACGAGACATAGTGAAATATAACGCTGATTTGCATCGTAACTGGGAAACGATTGATATTTCATCTCTTTTTCTTTCTCTTTTTATTATATCATTTTGTTTCCTTTTTTATACTTTAGAGAGATATCCACCAAATTGCTCGATTACGGTTGATTTATCGGAGTTAGAACGTAGAACGTAGAGAGAAAACATACAGAGAAAACTATACGCGCGACATAAACGAGTGAATTTGCGTGTCACAATTTACAATTAGTGAATTAGTTACTGCAGAGGTCCAGTCAATTTGTTGGACATCATAACGACATTTCGAACATTCTACAGTTGTCAAATAGCAATAGCAGTAACGCGCGTAGCTGAAATCCCAACGAAATTACATTTTCGAATTGCCTCTATTTCGAGCGATTAATGGTCGCGTTCGGTCACGTGTTTAGCGATTTATTGTCAATGAAGTATAGCGTAGATTACATAACATGCGTCCAAGCCTTCGTGAACTAAATTACAGGAAGTGCAATGGTATCCGATTTCTTTCGTTCCAATCGAACATCCGATTGTGAACGCGTTCGCGGTCGACGAGAAAAAAAAGGAAAAAAGAGAAACAGAAAGAGGGAAGGGAGAGAGGAAGAACGCTGTCGGAAAATCATCGGCGCGATTCACGAGTGACATCCATGTCGTAATTAGACACAATTGTCTCATTTACTGATTCGGGACGCCGACAACCGACGTCGTTACAAGTTCTCCGCGATTTCCTGATTGGTCGGCAGCATATGCGCATTCGCTGTCTCACGAATGCACACGAGTAACTTGCGGTAGCTCAAAATTGACATTAATTTAAGCATTCGTAACTTTCTCGACTAGCTTCTCGGTGTAAGTAATGCACGTACAGAAGGGGCTTGTGATCGCGCTTCGCCCCATTTGCGATTCGACGACGGTCGAAGGTAATCCATGAATAATGCCATCAATCACTCCGTCGGTCGTAATCTTCACTGCTGCCTCGAAGAGAATGTCGAGTTTCGGGCTTCGTGTGGGATGCGTTATGGCGTACGCGACGCGAAATAAAAACAAAATAATTCGTAATACCGTGAGAAACCTTCATCTTCGAAGGAGGATGAAAGAGAAAGAGAGAGAGAGAGAGAGAGAGAGAGAAGAGAAGGTAAAGGAAGAGGTGGCGGGCGGAAAGCGGGGAGGGCGCTCGCTTTGAGGACGTCCTGGCATTGTCCTCTCGACGACAAAGGGACTCTTGTCTCCGTGCATTAGCGCGATTCACGGACGCGCGGATTCTAACGCGCCCTCGGATGGCGGATACGCGATAGATCAGAGAGGAGATCGCGTAGAAAAGATACATCGCGGCATTGTCTCGCTGTCGTATACCCGCAATTCCCGCGTAATGTATGCCGTAATTACCGAACGAAGACGGCGTAATTAAGGGTCCCGGCCGCGAGAGGACCCGCGCGCGCGCCCGAGGGTCGACCTAATCAACCGGCTCGTTTAGACAGCTGTTCGCGACAACGTAATGACGTCTTATCTGCCTTCACAATACTACAAATTAGGGGACAATGGTGTGCGCATTGTGCGCCGCAGAGCCGCTCGCCATTTTTGCGGCGTCTCACCGTGACGCGAGGCATTAGTTGCGCTAACGACGCGGCCTGGCGTGATTCGCCGATTCGCTCCAACACTCGGCCGCGTCAGGGCGCGCGACCAGGGAACTCGGGCGACGGAGTTTGCAGAGTTAATCGAGCACCGCCGCGCTGAGCCGTGAATTTTGAATCGAGAACTTCGCGGGGGCCTTTCTACCGGCGATACGGGACGTAATTACGCGGTTAGTGCTACTAAATACTTCATACACGCGCACAAATACGCGCTCCTGCTGCACATCGGCGGCAGCGTTAACGACTCGTGATCGATGTGCGGAAACAAGGGAATATCGATGCTAATCGTGGCACGTAGAGAGCGACGTGAAAGGTGCGGAATCGATCAATGATGAACGTAACGTATGCGAGCACTTTGACGATACATTTTTCCAATTAATTGCAGACACGACGGTACGTTTATAAAATGCAAATCGCGTCCCTCTCGAACGATCCACGTCCCCGGTGAATTTGGGTACACTCTCGCGGATCAAGGAAAGAGAGCACCTGTGTGCCTTACGCCAAACGAGATTTATGGTTTCACGAGTAAGTTCGATTGAGGTGGCGCGTTTGTGACAGACGCAATTCAGATCGCGTTGCCTTTTCCATAAGACGGCCCGAGTCTCCCTTTGTTGTTCTTTCCGGGTAGTTTGATTTTTGTTGGAGGTGCGATTTTTGACGTCGCAACGAAGGGGAAACGACGACGAGGTGACGAAAATTGACCCAACCCTCCCTGGGAATTTCTAATCCAATTTCTGTCAAGTTTCTTACGGGGCGCGACACGACGTTGGAAATTTCCTCGCGAATTCGCGAGTGAAAAGTTCGGAGCCATCTTTGCCTCCTCGTCCTCGTCTTCGCGAATGGTAAGCACGCCAGCCAGCCAGCCAGCCAGCCAGCCAGCCAGCCAGCCAGCCAGCCAGCCAGCCAGCCAGCCAGCCAGCCAGCCAGCCAGCCAGCCAGCCAACCAACCAACCAACCAACCAACCAACCAACCAACCAACCAACCAACCAACCAACCAACCAATCAACCAACCAACTAACCAACCAACCAACCAATCAACCAACCAGCCAGCCAGCCAGCCAGCCAGCCGGCGCGCTTTCGATACCGGGCGCGGCAAAGTTTCCCTCTCGCGGCGGCAACAAGCTCGAAATTCCGCAACACTCGCACTCCTCGGCCGTACATCTGCATCAGCAAAAGTTGGCTCACGCGAGCGATACCTCACGAGCAAAATTCGATCCAGTAAATCGCAATCTTTCCCCTGACGTTTACGACGAATCGCGGAGATTTATCGCGATAACACGAACGAAAAAAATTGCCGGCCGTTTGAAATTGTATCGAGGTAAAGTTTAAATACTACGTAGTTCGCGCGCGCTGCGTACAGTTATGGCGCAAGCTCGTAAACGTACTTTGATAGCGACTTATATCGTGTTACAGCCGTTCGTCGTTTCAAGACTCACTAGCTCACTTGTTCGCTCGCTTCTCTCGCCAACCGCACATACGTGCGTAATTCTCGCGCCTCGGTTATTCGGTTCTCTCGTTCACTTTATCATCGGGAAGACGAGCACCGCTTGCCGCGCGCGACAATCAGTGGATATTTTCCAATAGTGCGCGCGACGGTCCCGCCAGCGATTTTCCTATTTGGTCAATCGTTGCTCCGCCGTGCACGCGAGCACTCTTTGAGCGCCGTGATTTATACCGGAGTCTCTTAAATCGTTCAGCAGATTAACTTAAAAGGTCCTTTATAGCGTGACTACTATATCATGGAGGTCTTTGTGCCGCGGCCGGTCCTCACGAAACAAGATTAGCCTGTCGGCTTTTGTACCGAACGTCGAAATACTTAAGTCGTGAAAACACGCGCGCGCAAAAGCGACTCTTTCCCACGGGCGGATTTTGGACTCGCGTCCTGCCGGATGTACGAACGTCAAAGAAGGATTCGGAGGGTAAGCTCAATGGACAGAGAGAGAGAAAGAGAGAGAGAGAGAGAGGCTGAAGGAAAAAGGCCCGATATTCTTACCACACACTTGACGCTAAATCTAGACATCTGGTTTGTTTTGTTGTTTGATCAGAAAGTTCGACAGGTGGCGGGAAACCGTGTTAATCTATCTGATGTTAAATTTATTTGTCGACAGATTATTGTAAGTCTTTAAACGTAATTATTTAAACAACATTGAGAAAGAAATATCTGAAAAATGAAAAAAAAAAACATTTATCCGGCGCTAACATATTTTTTTGAATACATACAAATTCTTTTATTTAAGTGGAACAAATAATTGCTTTCATGAAAAAGTACGGTTTTAAGGAAATGTGCATTTTCTTATTTGAAAAATGTTTTATCAATATAAGTAAACATGCCATTAATACTCACCGAATAAATATTTCTTATTTTTAAATAATTTTTCTCTCATAGTGTATAAGAAAATGCTTGATTTATAACCGACATTTAACAAATTAAATGAATTAATGTATTTCAATTTTGAGAGAATATTTTTCCCAGTATTCTTTCGAGTTAAAGAATAAAGCTTCTCTCTATTTTCTAATGTATATTTCACGTCTCCTACAAAATAATTTTTGATTAGATTCAACGCAAAAAGACGACACTGATTCGTCTATCTGAATGCGCACGCTAATGTAACGCGACGTGAAATTCGTTAGAACATCACCGCAGAACACCGCCGTGAGATGACTGTCATTTAAGACGGTGTTACTCTTGCAATAGTGCTTAATTATTTCAACCGAAGAACGATTACAATAAGTTTAACGATGCTAAATCGACCAAGTAGTAAACGTGGATGCTTGCCAAATTGCGGAGAATTGTGGTCCCGTTGGAAACTCCGCTAGCCAAAACACGCTAGCGCAGGGCAAAAGGGACGTAGTTTGCTCTTCGAGTACAAACGGGACGACATCTCGCAGAATGTAAATGTCGACATTCGTTCACTCGTAATGATTGCCAGTTAGCTTTCGTAGAGTTTGGATGCGGCCTTTATACAAAAGAGAAACTAAAGTCAATAGAGTGCTTTACCTGCTGTAACAGTTGTTAAACACATCTGTTTCCATGCATAAGATGTTTGTGTGCATCTTCATCTTCCCATGCCTTGACTGTTGTTGCTAGACCATTTTACAATGAAACAAGAATGAAAGCATTTGGAGGTTGTTAAATA